CAGGGTGGGTGGGTGGGTGGGTGAGATGAGATGGGATGAGAGAGATTGGTTCACCGCAGTTCCCTCCCTTCACGGCATACACGCCTCTCTCTCTTCACCTGTGTCTGTGTTGTGCCTCTAGAGTGAGCACCCCCTCCCCCCTCCCGCTCCCCAGCTCCCCTCCATGCAGTCGCGCATTCGGCACACGGCGGCCCTGCAGTCGCAGCTCGAGCTACTCAACGACACCCTCAACCTCGAGACGTCCACAGACCATGACATAGACCCCGCGGCTGACGTCACGGCCTCCCCCATCCCCTCGCGCGTCGCCCGATTCGATCTGGCGGCCGACACAGCTCGCCTTCAGGGCAGCGTCGAGCGGTTCCTGGCCACGAGAGACGAGCTGCAGCAGAGGGAGGACTTGAGGACCGCAGGTGCAGTTTCTGTACCGCCTCCAGTGCACTTCTGCAATGCCGGTTGACGCATAGAATGGCCTTCTGGCTGCCAAAAAGCGATGGATGTCGGCGGAGGGAAGCAAACAAGAGATGATTAGCGCTCCTGCTGCATCGTTTGTCGCGCTGTCGTTTTGCGAGTTTTCAGGCAGGGATCGCTCAGTTTCGTCAGTCGACGGCAAATAAAAGAGTATTGCCGCTGCTGCCGCTCGTGTGAGGCCTTCGTGCCGTGACAGTGAGGCCTCCGGGCCGTAAAAAAGATTTCGAAGGAGAAGGAGAAGGCGGCGACGACGAATCGGCCACAGGTACGCACCCACGTAGAGAGGGAGTGTGTACATGATGCATTCTCAGTCAGGTAGACAGAAAAGTGAGAGGGATGCATCAGAATGCACCACTCGGTCGATGCATCCACCCATCTAGGAAGCGCCAGACGTTTGACGAGACCTTTCTCGCTGTGTGTCGCGCCTAGATAAAGAGGAGGCGAGAAACACGAGAGGGCGTCGAAGGCCATGAGAAGAGACTCAGGTGCACACCGAGTACATGACACACTCCACTCTGTCAGACAGACAGACAGGGTAGAGGCGGAAAGGCCATGCGCATCGGCCAGCCTGCTTGGAATCAAGAGAAACATCTCATGTCTCTTGCTGATCAGGTCTTAGCAATCGCTGCTTACATTTAATATTTCGAGACACTTTAACCTACCGAAGGGAGCGCGGTAAGTCTGAAGAGACATAATACGAACAGGGTGGGCGCTTTTTATTTGTCTCATGATCCCACTCGATGCAGCCTACCAGCCCCACAAACCACCGAGGCGCCCAACGACAGCCCCACACTCACCACTGACCACTTCCCGCCACTCCTGCCCACAATCAACAACACCGGCACAACCACCGGCAAGAGGAGCAGCCGCGGCAGCCTCTCGTCACCAGCCCAACAGCAGCTGCGTCTGGAGATGGGCGCCTACATCAGGGCCCGCGACGACAAGAGGGGGCAGTGTGAGGACGCCGCCAGCATTCCGGCTGAGGCGGGCGTCATGGTGGTGGCGGACGGCGTGGGAGGCTTTGTGGACGACCACCCTGGCGTCAGTGCACGTGACTTCGCGCGTGCAGTGACCGTCAAGACCATGGACGAGGCCATGGCCATGGCACCGCTCCGAGACGCCCGCACCAACAGGGCCAAGCAGCTGGTGGAAGAGGGATGGGCCAAGACAGCCGCCGACCGACACGGCCCGCCTGGCGCCAGCACCATCGCAGTCGCCGCCACCACGCACGACGAGGAGGGCCGGCCGTGTGTGGACGTCGCCGATAACGGCGACACTGCGGTGGACCAAAACATCCAAAGTAACCATACGCAAAAGGCGACGTCTCAGAATTTTTACTTGTTTCTCGGTTTGTGTCTCAGATGGCTGCCTACATTTTATATCCGACAGACATGTGATCTCTCACCGGCTCAGCCTCACACGAGCACTGCCGCGGCGGGGGGCTACGTCAGGCTGTGGATTCCGTCCGCCAACAGGTAGTCAAGAGGGAGAGACACGTTTGTATAGCATATCCCAGAACAATTCTTGCTCGTGTGTCAGCTGTTGTTCTAGCTATAGCCGCTGCCACATACGACGAGGACGGCCAGCCGTGTGTGGACCTCGCCGCATACGGCGACTCGATTATAATGGTCGTCAGCTTCCCCCACCACGGCCCCCCCATCATCGTGACCGCGCTGGAGCCGATGCATCACCGCAACCAGCTCAACTACCCCTTCCAGCTGCAGCGCATCCCCCGCCGCCGGGCCGCCGACATCCTAATACCACCACCGGCCACCCTCAAGCGCCTCACCCGCACTGACCACCGAGCGGAGGATGCCACGGAGGCGACCATCGGGGTTCAGGCTTGTCGGTGCCCTCGAGAGCGGCGATATTGATATCGCCTGCTCGGACGGGGTCACCGACAACCTGTTCCACCACGAGATCGTCTTCTTCGCCCAGACGTTCCGGAGCCTGCCCGCCGACAGGCTGGCCGCACATCTTGCGCGGCTGGCGTACCGCAAAAGCAAGAACAAGAGCGAGAAGCTTGACACGCCCTTCCGGCAGATGTGGGAGGCGCACGGCGAGGAGTGGCTGCAGGGCGGGAAGGAGGACGATATCACGGTGCTGGTGGCCAAGGTGGGGTCGGCGGAGGGGGTCTGAGGACTAGAGGAGGCGGCCGTCTTTGTCAGTATCGCTGCTTACATTTTATATCTGTCGTACTTGATTGACCGATCGATGCATTTGTGCGGGTGATGCTGGTGCATGATGGATGAATGAGACATCTTTCAAGAGACCCCTTGGTGGCGATTCAACGCTCACAGCCTCCATCAGTCAGTGAATGGATAATTGATAATGTGCAGACCGATTCATTGCCACGCACTAAGGAACACACAACCATGTCTTACGCCGCGACCATATCCAACTCAGCACGAGCCAGCCACAATACCACACTCTTCACACGTCTATTCACATTGTCTCTCTGCATCAACCGCCTGCATTCGACCTCCACGCCTCCCGCCCCCCTCCCTACCGTCCACTCTGATGGCCAGGCCCTGCTCGACCCCGCTCATCCCATGTGGGCCAAGTGATGTGTCGTGCAGCAGCCACTGGCCGGGGTCCTTCCACGACAGCAGCGAGCGGTGGGGCCGCTTGAGGATCGAGCGCGTGTCCATGACCCACAGCACACGACGAAGGCCCAGCTGGGCCTCCTGGCGGTCATCTGCTACCGGCGCGGCGGAGTGGAGTTGCCGGTCGACGTGAAGGAGGGTGGCCTCGAGGGATCGCTGGAGCTCGTGCCTCTGGTGCTTGGTCAACGAATCTGCACATGGAAACACCAGGGTGAGTGCTCCCTCATCGTGTTTGGTGTTTGTCTCACCAGTGAGGTTTGATGCCGCCCTGAAGAGCTGCTCCATCCATGGCGAATCGAACGCACCAGCAATGCGCAACTGAACAAGACAGATCCGTGCATCCGCCACCCCGTCGCTTGACGAGTAGGTCAATGTATCGTTTGTGCATGTCCTACTTGTGCGAGTGTCTGCACACAGTCGCTCGCCCTCAGCCGCTCCACCTTGTCATCGATCCGAGTGTGCAGATCCTTACCCACAGAGCCAGCCTGCACAGGGCAGCAAGCCACACAATACCTCACCAGTCTTCACCCACACCACCCATTGGCTTCCATCTCACCTGATGCAGCTGCATCTTGGTCAGCCCATCATACATGAGGCAGAGGTCCCACACAGGGCTGCCCGCAACCCTGTCCACCACCACTAAACGACTCGCCCACCGCTGCAGCCCCATCTTGCCCCCTTCCTCCCCCTCCACGCACCCGAGGGCGTGCACCAGCCGACACAGAGCACTGCCGTCAAGACGTGACCAGTCCGCAAGACACCCACCAATCAGCAGCCGCAGCTGAGCGTCGGTCAGCGCGTCGACAGCCTTCAGGACAGCGGTCGCCGAGAGAGTTTCCACTAGCTGGTCGGGTGTGAGGGCCTCAAGTGCGTCGAGAATGAGAGGCACGCAAGTGTGGGGAACAGACGGGGGGACTAGGAAGCCGCTCCAGGCAAGCGAGTGCAGAAGGCTGGCCAGGGAGGGGGCGTCGAAGTCGCTCGCTGAGCAGGCCAGGCGCTCACACACAGCCTGGAAGAGGGCAGCAGACCTGAACAATACGAATCAGTAACCACAACCAGAATGAGCGGTGAGCTTCATGCTCTGTGTTTCTGGTCGTGTCATGTGCTGCAGCACCCGTGTGTTCTCCAGTGGGCCAGTATGCGCATCGTGGCGACAACATTGGGAGTCGATAGATACATGTGCTCCTCCCGCAGCCGACGCAGCACATGCCGCCAGGCCGCCTTGCTCGGATCTATCTTCCTGCACGTACACCACACGCGCACACACGCATCCACAAGAGCCATCGTCTGCACTGCAATGCACTCAATGCATTGCATTTCGCCGCACCGCTTCCTGGTGTGTTTGTACCTGTCTGAGAGCTCCGTGAGTGCCTTGAATGCCTTGGCAGCTGACGTCACTTGAGTCGTTTGCTCGGCCATGTTGATGAATGTGCGGGCGGCGGGCGAGATGCGCCGGGGGATGGGAGGGGGCAGGGGGGCGGGCACAGCCACACACCGCACACGACAAGCCATGTTATCGACTCAGACACCAGATCTCAGATGATCAAATGAAATCACCCTGAATGTATATCAGCAGGAAATTGAACGAAGGGGCATCACATCAAACAGACGGCCTCCATACCAAAGGTGGGAGAACTTCGGAGTCCTACAGCTAAAATACAACCGGGCCGGGCCTGACGTTTTGGCTGCGTGCTTGTGATCTTGCGTCTCGTGGATCGCACCTTGCCTTCTCAGTTTGCTTTTTCGGCCCAGTGCTGCTGTACAACACTGCCAAGGGCCTGGCTATCGTCTCCCACACACCTGAATCGCCCATCTGCCTTCCTGGTATGCATGCGTGCGGACACGGAAAGGGAATGAGGGCACGGAAAGGGACGCATATGTGGGTGTGTTCGTGTGTGGATCCATGCGTCGTCGTTGTGCTGTTGTGGTGTGGTATGGCAGGTTGTTTCTCGCACTCCTCTGTCGCCTTGCTGTTGCGTTTGGGTGCGCTGTACAACACTCTCTGGTTCGCAAGCGCACACACTGACTGGATGGCTGGCTTGTGTGTGTCCATCGTGTTGGTGGTGTTGTGTGTGTTGGTGGCAGGTTGGTTTTCGCACCCTCTGTCGTGTCGCTTTTCGTTCGGGTGCACTCTTGCCATCACTCTCTGGTGCGCATCAAGACAGACAGACAGACAGAGAGGCAGACACATACACCGACCACACACACCAGACTGTCTGTGTGGCTGCCTGGCTGTGCATGCGATGTCCTCAGACGTGCTTTGCTTTTGCCGGTCGTCTGCGAGTTTGGCAGCGGCAGTTCCCTGCCTTGTCAACGCTCACAGCGCCCATTGGTTGAGCTCGCTGCATGACCGGCACTGTCTAAGGACTTTCGCGACAGACGTTCATTCATTCAATCGCTCTCGAGTCCCCACGCTTGAGTCAACCTGTGTTGATCTAGACCACCTCCTCCGGATGGTCTGAGCAGAGCACAAGAAAACCAACTACAGCCTCATCAGAAGCTCGCAGATGGTTTGGAGATCGCAAAAGTGAGAAGGGGTCAGCGTTGCTTCTTCAAGGTACGCACAGTCACACTCACACACAGCACACCGAACTCGTGAGCCCAGCCTCAACACACGTCACATTTGACCCGCATGCATGTACGCACACGAGGGACAGACGAGTGGGTGAGGGCCACAGGCAGGAAGGCGAGCAAAGGGGCAGAAACGACTCCACAGCGGCCAGCAGGGAGGCAGAAGCACAGGGGCAGCCAGGCCGTCTCACAGGCGTCACGTGTGTACTGGCAGTCAGGCATTTCGTTGGCACCTGACGAGTTGATCGGTGCATGTGTGTCCATTGGTGGTGTGTTTGGGCTGCGGGCGTCATGGCGTCTCCCTGTGTGTGTCTGCTTCAGGTGACTCGCCCTCCTTCTGCTGCCCCTCCGACAGACAGCACCCGAGTGAGCAGAGCCCACCTACTGAGGATGTGAGACCACACCAACAGGACGTCTAGCGGACGGCAATTACTGGTCGATCAACGCCTTTCCCAGCAGACGGCATCCAGCAATCGGACCCATTTTTGAGCTCCCTCCCTCCCACCCGTAGTAGCATAGCCTGTCGCTTGAAGAGGCACACGTATGCACGTACGTCGTCTGAGTGAGTGAGTGGCGCTCCTCGACCGTCTGTCCGTCTTCCCCCATCCCGCTTGCCTGCCTTCTTGTTTGAGGACGGCCAACCATCGAACCAGCCCCCTCCCTCCCTCCCTCCCTCCCTCTCGGACGCACTCACATAGATGCCCTCTTCCTCACCCACCAAGTGCTGACCTGACCTAGCCGCACCAGAACCACAACCTGCCCGCTTTACTTCGTTGCCTGACTGACTTATCTATCTGTCTATCTGTCTATCGCTCACCGCATGTGTTAGTCTCCGAATGGCCAACGGTCTGATGGCTGACGTGTATGGTGGTGCTGGTGTGGAGGGGGGCGGGATCTCGGCTGCCGTGGCGGAGGTCATCCACTCGCTATGGTCAGTGACACACACAACACACAACACACAGAGAGGGATATGGGACAGCTAAGCGGCATCTTATGTGCGTCTGTGTGTGTGTGGCGGTGTGTGTGATGTTTCTGTCAGGCTTGAGCTAGTGGTGTGTTCGTTCCTGATGGTGGTGTGGGTGTGGAGGCAGCGGCACAATGGCAGCAAGACCAGCACCAAAAGCACTACCAAGACCACCGCCACCAGCAGCGGCAACAGCAGTAAGGCCAAGCAGGCTGCTGCCGGGCGGCCATCTCCCCCGTCCATCCCCCACCTCTCGGCTCCCTCACACCCCCCCTCCAGCAAATGGTCCGTCGCTGGCGCCATCCGCTCCACGGCAGCCACCATCATCAACAGATTCAAGAAGAGGACCACTGCACCGCCCAACGCGGCGGCCCATGACACCACCGACGAGCACCAGCCGGCCGACGACCAGAGCCCCGTTGCTCGCAAGCGCCCAGACGCGCTTCTGCTGGCGTCGCCCTCTGACGGCGGGCTGGCCAAGGCCATGGCGGAGGCGGTGCTGCGGGAACAGACGCCCTGGTCGCCCAACGCACAGGTGGCTTCCAAGGGCCACCCGCAACCGCCCTTGGCGGCCACCAGCCCCCTCCTGGGCGACTTTCCCCCGCCACCCGACGGCCTCTTCGCACCCCCCACCAACCAGCACCAGCAGTGGAGCGGCGTGTTTGCCACCTCCCCCAGCCCCTCCCACGCCCACACACACGCCTTCGCGACCTCCTCTGTGCACAGCGTGCACTCGCTCAGCCCCTTCACCTCCAACACGTCACCGGCGCCGTCGTCAGTCGTGGCACAGCAGCACTCGCCTGACCTGGTGGTGGGGTCGTCGGGTGGCGGGCAGCACAGCGGGACGGCCACCACCATGACCACACCGTCGTTCTTCAACGGCTCCTTCGGCATCCCTGCCACTTCGTCGGTGACGAGCTCGCCCGCAGCCGTGACCAACGACGGGTGGGCCGTGAGTGGGGGAGGGGGGAGCGGCAGTGGAGGCGGGGGGAGTGGCGATAAGGGCGGCTATCGCAAGGACAAGGACCACTGCAGTGACGACTCGTCGACGCACGAGCAGGCCTTCCCGGAGCTCTCGGCGGCCGCATCGCCCACATCGACATCGCCCACATTCGCCAAGAAGGACATTGTCGACGAGTCCCCCGTCCACCAGGCCATCGTGTACCGTCGGCCAGGCATCTCGCGCCTCCCCACCGAGGCGCCCAACGACAGCCCCACACTCACCACAGACCACTTCCCGCCACTCCTGCCCACCAGCACAGCCACCAGCGCCACCAATGGCAAGAGGAGCAGCCGCGGCAGCTTCTCGTCCAGACATGACAGCAATGAAGGCACCACCCACAACAGCAGCCACGGGGGCGGATCGGGCGCCAAGAGCTCCACTGCCCGCCGTCTGTCTGCCTTGACGGAGCGGCTGACGTCCGTCGGCTCCACCAGTGCGGGCGAGACCCCGACCCATCGTGGGTCTATCGACCAGGGCAAGATGGGCGGCGACACACCATCCTCCGGGAGCGCATCCACCTCCGAGAGCCGCATGCGGGGTGAGGAATCGACCAACGGCAATGGGGGCAATGGGGGAAACGGTGAGAGGGGCTGGGGCGGTGCTCGTGAGAGATGGGGCAATGGTGGCGGTGGCGGTGGGGGCGGCCGTGGTGGTGGTGGTGGTGGTGGTCGAGTGAAAGGCATAGTAGAGATGGACAACACAGTTCCGTTTGAGGAGCTGGCGCGAGACCCGATGCGGCTGCGTGGGAGCATCATGGACATGTGCACCAAGCGATACGGCAGGGCCATCGAGTACTACAAAATGGCAGTCAGAACAGGCGTCTACAAGTGGGGAGGGGGGAGGGGGAGGGGATGGGGGAGATCGGCACCACCCACAAGGCAACACATCCACACCCACACATCCCGTGTGTGTTGGTGTGTGCAGGCACATCCGCGACGAGCAGATGTATGTCAACTTGGTGCAGCTGGGGCTGTTCCTGGGCCACCGCGACCTGGCGGACAGCGTGTTGGGTGACATGAAGGCGGCCTCCATCCCGCGGCCTCTCAACATGTACATCTCCATCATGAAAATGTTCGCTGCACGACACCTCTACTCGAAGGTATGTACGCCACACAGAGAGTGGGAGGGAAAACACCTAAGAGACATCCTGTGTGTGGGCCATCCGTCCACACATCGACCCTTTGGTCAGTGTCTGTGGCTGTATGAGGCTATGCGGGAGGACGGCCACGCCCCCCGCGACGCCACCATGTACTCGTGCCTTCTGTCGGCGGCCGTCGAGTCGGGCGAATTCGACAAGGCCATCGAGTTCTTCAAGAAGGTATGCCCTTCTTGTCTGTCTGTCTACTCAGCCAAAGCCAAGTCTTCTGCGTACTCTCTCTCTCTCTCTGTGTGTGTGTGTGTATGGTTCAGTTGTCCAACGTGGGCCGTCCGTCGATCAAGGCCTTCATGCAGGTCATCCGAGTGCACTCGCGACGAAACGACTGGCAGGCCGCACTCAACCTGCTCAAACAGGTCACTCTCCCGGCCCCACACACACACCACACAGGCAAGACCATCCCTCTCTCTCTGTGTGTGTGTGTGTGCATCCATCAGTTGTGTGACAGCGGGATGGAGCCCGACAACCTGATAGTCAACAACGTGTTGGCGACGTGCGTCAATGCGCGGCAGGTGGCGGTGGCCCGCACGCTGCTCGAGGAGATGAAAGACACACCGGGACTGCTCGACACCATCTCATACAACACCATCATCAAGGTAAGCACCCAGCCCACAGGCGCTGACAGACAGAGGGCAAGAAATGTACCTCTGTCTCTCTCTCCGTGTGTGTGTGTGTATGTGTGTGTGTATTAGGGTTACGCGCAGTCCGGTGCGTTTGAGAGTGCGATGGACATTCTGCACGACATGCGTGAGCAGGGCCTGCAGCCTAACGACATCTCATTCAACACACTCATGGACGCCGCCATTCGGGCAAAGTACACAGCTACACCCACACACCCACATTTGTGTGTAAATCTCTTCCTCTCTCTGTTGTGTCAGTGCGTCCGATGCGGCGTGGAAGATCTTGGACGAGATGCAGCGCAGCGGCATCAACCCCGATCGCTACACCTGCAGCATCCTCCTCAAAGGCATCAGCAACGAGCCCAACAGCCACAGAGGAGGAAGAGACCACAACCGAGACAGAGACAGGGACTCCGTCAACACCCCCAAATCGGCCTCTCGCCACCCGTCCAATCACCCCTCCACCCCCACCAGCAACCAACAAAACAACAACAATAGTGCCAACAGCAGCAGCAGCGGCAGCAACCGGACAAACAACGCTAGCAACGGCCGAAGGAACAACACACACCGACAGCAGCAGCAGCACCAGCCGCCCCCGCGCAGCTCTGGTGGGCGCGCATCCTCCCACTGGGATGAGGGCGGCGGCGGCGGTGGTGGCCGCGTGGGCGGCACGACGTGGGTGCCGGCAGCTGCTGCCAATGCCACCAATCGCACAAACAGCGTGCAGGACAGCAACAGCAGCAGCAGCAGGGGCGGGAGGCCTTCTGCCGGTGGTTCTGGTGCTGGTGGTGGTGGTAGTGGTGTGCGGGCTGGCCGGCAGAGCGACGAGGGTGAGAGAGAGCACCCGAAGGACCCTGCCGTCAACGACCTCGATATCAACGGAGGAGACGGTACACACAAACACACACACACAGACAGAGAGACAGAGAGACAGACGGACCAACGGAAGATAGCACCCATTCTCTGTTGTGTGTCTTTGCGTGTCTTTGTGTGTGTGTCCATCCTTCCATCCCATCGACCCATCAGGCGGCATGCGTGAGGTGTCTGAGATCCTGGCCCGTCTGGCCAATAACCAGATGCCGCCCTCCGCCCAGAGCTACGGCACCATCATCAAGGCGCTCGGGCAGGCCGGCCAGCTCGACAAGTGCTTCGTGGTCTGGCAGGACATGACCAAGAACAACATCTCACCCACACCCCTCACATACGGTCACTCGGCACACACACACACACACACACACAGAGAGAGAGAAAGGCCTGCACGCGTGTGTGTGTGTGTGTGTGTGTGTATGGCTGGCGCTGCAGGCATCTTGATGGACGCCTGTGTGCACTGCGGTGAGACGGGCAAGGCGTATGAGGTCTTCCAGGACATGTGTTCTGCCGGCTGGGCCGCCAACGACGCGCTCTACACCACACTCATCAAAGGATTCGTCAAAGTGACCACACCCTGCACACAACCACCCCCCAAGCACACCACACCACACCACACCACACCGCACACGTGTGCTGCATTGTGTTGTCTTGTGTGGTGTCAGGCCAAGGACATTGATCATGCTCTAGCGGTGTATCAGCAGATGCAGGCCGTCCCCTCACCGACCACCAAGCAGGCCTCAGGAGGAGGCTCACCGGAGCGGGGGCCCCGCGGTGACCTGCTGACGTACTCGATGCTCATCAAGGCCACCTGCGACGCACAGGACCTCAACACAGCCACACAGATACTCAAAGACATGCAGGCTAGTGTGAAGTGACAGACAGACAGAGAGGCACACAAGACACAGGCCACACAGAGAGCACGTGTGTATGTGTATGTGTGTGTCTGTGTGCGTGTGTGTGCAGAGTGATGGCGTGGCTGCGGACGAGTTGGTGCTCAACAGCCTGCTCAACGCGTGTCTGAAGGAGCAGAACGTCACATTGGCGCAGAGCGTGCTGAATGACCTGACGCAGAAGGGCGTCGTTCCGTCGACCCTCACCCTGGCCATCATGATCAAGCTGCTGACCAAGTCAGCACCTCACACACACAGAGACAGACAGAGGGACACGATCCATCCATATGTGTGTGTGTGTGTGAGTGTGTGTGCAGGTGTCGCATGTATGTGGATGCGCTTGGGCTGCTCCGCGAGTTCAAGTGCGACTACGGCATGGCCCCCGGGGCCAACAACTACAATGCACTCATACAAGTGACTAAAAAACACCCACCACCCTACAAAGACATCGACCAGTCCGCCCATCTGTCTGTCTGTCTGTCTGTGTGTCAGGCGTGTGTGCGGGGCCATGCCCTCTGTGTGGCCCTTGACGCGTTTGACGAGTTCCTGTGCGATGCAAACACCGCCCCGCCCAAGTGCCCGCGGCCCGACGCTTCCACCTATGTAGCGCTGCTTAACGGATGTGTAGAGGCCACACACAGCAGCAACGGTGGGGGTGGGGGTGCTGGCCAGACACCCAATGGTGCGGGCGGCATGACCACTGCCAAACTCACAGACACCGCGGTAAGCGCACAGAGAGGGAGAGAGGGAGGGAGGGTTTCTGTGTGGGAGTGTGTGTGTGTCTGTGTGTGTTTCGGCGTGTCAGGTGTCGTTGGTCGAGCGTGCCTATTCAGAGGGTCTGTCGTTGCCTGAGGACTCGCTCACACCTCTGATCAAGCTGGCCTCCTACACTCACACAAGTACATAGCATCAGTATCCGGCCGTATGTATCACACACACCACACGACGCGACACACGGATACCTCCCCCCCACCCCATGTGTCGGTGTGTTTAGGTGAGCATCTGGTGAGTTTGATGAAGAAGATGGGCCTACCGGTGTCGCCTGAGCATGCCCACGCCCGCTCGGCGACGCCCCCAGTGATGGTGGTGCACCCGAGCGATCGAGACGGGCACCCCATGCTGCCCCCCATCATGGCACACAACGACGTCACCGCCACACCGTGCTAGTCGCTCTGCGGGCGGCATTCAAACACACACATACACACATACAAATGCATGGCAGCTTTACGCGCGAGTACATTGTGAGTAGCTAGATCTTCTGTAGAGTGGTGGATGGATGGACGGCTTTATCTCCCTCTGTAAGTATATGTGTGTGTGTGTGTGGCGGTTGTTTGCCCGTCTGTCGGTCTGTCTGTCTGTCTGTCTGTCGGAACACACAGCTGCGTACACACATCCACAGCCACACACACATGACGCGTAGAAGAGATACATACTTACGATGCGTGTGGTGTGCGTGTGTGATGCATGCTTTAGTAGGCAGAGAGTGAGTGACTCACTGGCCGGGCGGGGCGGGTGGCTCCCTGCCCTGACCAACAGGACAGAGACAGAGAGAGAGAGAGAGAGCAGATTATCTTTATCGAGAGACGAGAGAGACCAATCTACGCGTCCATGGATGGACGGATGGCTTGCCGCATTCATTAACACCTAGATAGACATCTCTGCAGCGCGGCAAAGGCAATTTTGGGGCTGGCTGCGTACCTACCTTACCTACACACACGCCTTCACATGCACACGCGCAACAGAGAGAGAGCGGGAGAGGGAGAGAGAGGGAGAGATTTGTACGGCAACTCAGCTGAATCGTTTTCCTGCCATTTACCTGGAGAGAGGAGAGAGGAGAGAGAGAGAGCTGCCGGCGAACCAGCCTGCTGTCGTTTCCCAAGAGAGATAGATACACTTGACGACTTCCTCGCGACGAGTGTGTAGATACGTACCAACCCACTGGCTGTCTTCCTGAGTGAGCGAGTGACTGACTGACTGACTAGCGCCCCGACCAACCAGCCCCCTACCTGTGCAGACAAACAGACAGACAGATAGACAGACAGACAGTCGCAAACGTATCAGGCCTGACTTACTCGTTCTTGCCACCTGAAGTGTGTGTGTCCTACGTGCGTGTGTGTGGTGTGTGTGTACCATATGTACGTGTGATGTCATGTGATGCGATGCGATGCTATCATGCGACGCTATGCTAAGCTGCCCCAAAGACAGGGGCGGGCCGGGCCGCTGCTGTCAGGGAGGGAGGGAGTGAGTGCAACAACGGTTTAGAGAGAGAGGGAGAGAGAGAACAACACAGAGGGGCCAACACTTGCCTGCCCGCCCGACACAAGCTGCATGATTGGATGGAGACATGCTGACCGGCACTCGCTCTCTCACGTGATGACTGACTGGCCTGTACACCTACCTGGATGGATGGCGGCATGTCTGCAGGAAGGCATCAAGTGTTTCAAGGGCGGGAGGGAGGGAGGGAGGGAGGGGTGCAGAACAGCCTGACTACCTACAAATGAATATATATGGTATATATCGCACACACGCGATGGATGCGATCGACCACCCCGAGATGGATGGAAGGGCATGATCATTTTTAACACCATGCATCGGAGCCCCCGGGCCATTTATACATTTCTCTGTGTAGACAGCCCTCCCCTCCACCGAACCGATCTGTGCTGTGCGAGTGGGTGTGTATCGGTGTGTACCATCGCTACACAGTTCAGTTTGTCATACCGGATGTTATGTGTCCATATCACAGCTGTAGACAGACAGACGAGACGATCGCCGTTTGTCGTGTCCGTCGTGTCGGCGGAGTCAGGCGGACAGCCGGGCCGTAACGTCACTCTCTGAGTGAGTGAATGAGTGAATGCGTCGCTAACGAAACGAACGGTTCTCCCAATGGGAGTGTGTTTGTGTGTGTCTGTGTCGGTGTGGGGCTGCTGTGGGAGGGGCGGGGGCTCTGGTGGTCTCTTTTTCGACCTCTGTGTGTGTGTGTGTGTGTGTATGCCTAGCTGTCTATGCCTAGACTGACTGGCTATCTATCCACCAATACGCGACATCAATCAACGTATGTAAGAAATGTGCAACGTTCACCAATCCACCAGCCAGCCATACACACATTGACCATTTGTACGGCTCGGAAGTCACACATGCACTCATCCATCCATCCATCCAAGGCGGAAAAAGCCGTCAGGTTGTCCACCAGACAGACAAGAGGGACACACCGCCCCTTACGCAAACAAACCTAATCACCACCTCTCTCACACACAGGTGTACAGTCTGTCTGCCTGATGCGTGCCTGATGTATGTTCGTACGACTGACATGCCGTCGGTTGCCGTCGGCGGCAAATCAGTCACACGCACATCGGTCAGGTATCACTCACGCAGACAAACTGTAACGATTACTCACGAGCTGATGGACCTAGACGTGTCGGGTAAACCGTCGTGCTGCTTCCCGCTACCCTGGCTGCTGCCCTGGCTGCCGCCATCCTTGCGGAATCGAGCACGCTTCAACGACCCCGGAGCGGGAATGCTACCACCACCAGCAGCACCCCTCAGCTGGCTCTCTGGCGAGGCTGATGGCATGTCCTGGTCATCCGACGCCAGAGCCTCGACAGCAGCGCGCTTCTTCTGCTGCGCTGCACTCCCACCACCGCCCCGCCCCTCGTCGGGCTTGCTCTCGGGCGGCGTGCCGAAGAGTCCCTCGTCGAATCCCGACAAGTCCTGGCTGTCGTGCTGCCTCAACCCTCCCCGTGCCGACCAGGCTGAGCGACCCGGTGCCGCGGGTGAGGGCCCGTCGTTCATCTGCCGATCCTCGCCCGCAAAGCCATTCCGCACCAACTCGCCAAGCCTTTTGTCGCGCATTGACTGTGAGTCGTCCTGCATCCCTAGGGGGGGCGGGCCGAGAGGGAGGGGGGGCAGCGAGTCCTGCGATGGGAAATCGGCACCCAGCCCCAGCGACCGGTAGCAGGGCGGCGGCAGCTGCAGGTGCGGCTGCGACGACTGAAGACCAGGGGGGCTGCCCGAGTTGTCCTGCAAGGCGGAGAGGACACAGAGAGAGAATGCGCGGGCTGAGAACAGATGACGTGATGAGAGCCGGCCGACCTCGTCGTTGTATGCCCCTCCGGAGGATGACGCTTCCATGCCCTGCGAGTCGCCCTTCTGCGGGGGTGGGCGGAGCAGCGATGACGGGATGGCAGGGGGAGGCCGACAGGGGGCGACGGGGAGGGGAAGCCGCGCAGGTTCGGACGGACCGCCATCAACACTCGGCATGGGAGCTGCAAAGGCGGAAAGAACGAGAATCCTCACTTCTCGATCTTTGTCTCTGGTTTCCCCAACCGCCCTCTTTCGTACCTATGATTTTCAGGTTCTCAATGCTCATCGGTGCCATCCCGCCGACGGCCGGGCTGGCGTGCTGCTGACCTCCCCTGTGCGCACCCTTGAGCGATGCCCGCTCCTGCCTGCGACCACCACCACCGCCGCCGCCAGCAGTGCGGTCGGCCTTTGACTCCCTTGGTGGCGCTGGGGGCGGGTGTTGCTGCAGCAGGGGGTGCTGGCTCTTGTCGAACTGCTTCCGGCGCCTCTCGAGGTAGGTCTCGTCCGTGTGCCGCACGCTCGCAAACGACACGTTGGGCTTGTCCATGCCGTGGGCTTTGAAGTACTCGTTGATCTCCCGCCGCACTTGAATGGCGAAGGTGTCAGAAAGGGACGGCTCGCTGTTGTTGCGGCCACCACTGGCAGCAGCCGCCGCCCCCCACTGCGGAGATGGGGCGTCGTCATCGAAGCCGTCCTCGTCGTCCATCTCGGCAGCTACTGAGGCGCGCTTGCCGGCCGCCGTGGTGCGGCGTGCCACTGCTGTGGTGCGGATGACGATCTTGGCTACCTCGCCGGCACCGATCTGACATGGTGGTGTGGATGTGTCCCATGGGCAGCGAAGGGGTGTTTGTGTTTGTGTGTGGTGTGCTTACGTTGATCCACTGGTTGTCTTCATCAGTTGGGGTGGGGAAGAGGCGGGAGTACAGCGTCTGGCGCTGGGCGTCAGACATCAGCCTGAGCTCCTCAGACACCAACGAGTAGTGCTGCAGCCAGATGGCAGCAAGGCAGCGACCATCACAGCAGACACACACAACACTCACAAGACTCATCAGCCTGTGTGTATGCGTGTGTGTGTGTGTGCAGTGGCTGTGTGTGTGGACGCACTTTTCCGCATGGGGCGAAGTAGTAGAAATGCACGTCGGATGCCAAACGCAACTCGTAACCTGCACACACACACACACACACACACAGCTTTACACGAGAGGTCTCATCTTCCATTCTCTCTGTCTCTCCCTCTCTCTCTCTGTGTAAGCTACCGGCAGCGATTTTCTCTATGTAGTCCGAGTAGGGTGTGCTGTGAAGGCTCACAGTGGCCGTCTTCCGGCAGTACGGCACAGACACAGTGCCATATCCCTGACAAACGGATGGATGGATGGATGGACCCATCACACACACACACACACACACATATTGCAATGCAACCCCGCATGTGCCCCTCCCTCGTGTCTGTGTGTCTTGTGTGCCCCATTCATTCCCTGCCGCACTTTTAGGTTGAAGGACTTCTTGCTGGTGCCCTCGGTGCCCTTCTTGGAGCCCTTCCCACCAGTGACTACCTTGACAGGCACCTGACGACTGAACGACAGACAGACAGACAGACACAGTGGGTGGGTGGGAGGGAGGGAGGGAGGGACGGAGGGACGGAGGGAGGGAGGGACACACCGCACCAAACCACACCACATGTCAGATCACAGATGTCACACGTGTTTCTTCCACATCAGCAGGGCGAGCTTAACGCACCTCTTGCTAGATGTGTCGGCCAGGCTGCCGCCCACCGTGGCGAAAAACACCGCTGCCATGTCAGTGAGTCAGACAGACAGACAGACAGACAGACGCCAGTGAAAAGGACAACAGCATGAGGCAGAGGGATGTGTGTGTGAGTGAATGGGTGGGGTGGCTCACTCACTGTTGTCGTAGAATCTGAGTGACGACTGGGGGGGCCTGTTGAAGACGGGCAGCTCCGCCATCGCCCTGGCCTCCTTATCCCCCATACACAACAGCTTCACAGCCTGGAGGAAAGAATCAAGGTGGCACACACACACAGGTGGGAGGGAGGGAGGGAGGGAGGGAGGGGAGGCGTGAGAGTGCACAAACGATGAGAGTCTGTCTGTCGGTCTCAGCCTCGATGAGCTCACCTCGTCGGCCTTCTCGTAGATGTGTTTCATTTCGACATTTCTGAGGGTGACTGGTGTGTCCTGCAAGATGCGCGCCGCCATATCCTGCACACACACACACACCCCCACACACAGCCATCGATGCAGCCGTCCGCGAGAGAGAAGCCCGCCCCTGCTGTTGTATTGCCCATGGTTTCTTTGTACCTCCCGCAGGTAGGTCAGGAGTCGTGTGAGGTCGAAGCCCCCATCGCCCCGCACACGATCTATCAGGTCACGGATGCCTGCAATCACACACACACACACAAACAAACGACAGAGGGATTTTCTCCTCGCTCGTGGCACAGCCATCCTGAGTGGCTGGCTGCCCGGGATCGATCTGGTTACCCACTCACCGCGTCTGAGCATGTACTTGTCGACGGGATTGAGTTTGAGTCCAGGAGAGCTCACTGCTCGGTGCACCTCGCAATACAACTCCTGCACAGCACACACACAGAAAGAACAAAAGGCACACATCGATCACAGGAAGCACCAGTGCTGTGTGTCTGTCCTCACTGACCGCGCCGCCCACGTGCAGCAGGCCATCTGCCTACCCTACCCTAGCTGACCTGCATGAGCGATTCGATGTCGTCTGCGTCACCATTCTGGACCACACTGCTCGCCGACGGCTGAGGAACCAGCGCCATGTCGATCTCGCCGTTTCTACCCCTTTTGATGCTGCCGCTCGTCGTCTTGCTCTGGCTGTGGCTGGGCTTGTTGGCCGGCGGCTGTTCTTTCTTGCCGGGCATGGCTGAACTGGAGGGCTCGCTAATCTGGTACTCAAACTTTGGGAAAGTGGCCCAGGTCACAGTCGCTAGATGGTCCGAAGAAGGCAATGACATCCGGGGAGGCACGTCAGCATCAAAAATCGAAACTGCCAGGAGTTGGGGAGAAAAGCGTGAAACGGAGCGCTGTTTACCACACGACCAAGCCCTTTGGAATGCCTTCACCGGCCATCGCCTTCATCCTTTCATCATGCTTTGTCCTCACTCACGCCCGATGGGCCACCGACGGCACGGCCAGCAGCCTCCTGCCCGCCCTCATCAGGGCGTCCAGTGGCAACCGCACCGCCCCTGTGGGAGACGCTGAGAGAGGCTGCCACAGAAGCGACCCCGAGTGCAAAGAAAAGCTCATCTTCGTTGTCGAGGTGGGCAAAGCATTGCAGACCCCATGAAAATGTGTTACATGTCTGTCTGCGGTGTACGTGTCCTCGACATCAAGTTGGGTGCCCCCTCTGCATGCACTGCAGGTGTGCCGGCATGGCAACCGCTCGCCCTACCACTACTTCGAGAAGGACACAAAGAACGGGCTCGACACATGGTCAGTGAGTGAGTGAGCAGCACATGCCTTCAGGAGACTCTTTCTTTGGTGTTTGCACTGACTGTGCTGTGGTGGCTGGGCCGCAGGGAGGGTGTGGCGGAGAAGGGCTGGCTGACGAGGCTTGGAATGCTGCAGCACTACCTGATCGGCGCTATAGCCCGCAAGAAGTACGTCCGGACCTATCGGCTGCTCAGCGGCAGGTACACGCCACGGGAGGTGTACGTCCGCTCCACTCTCGTGCCGCGCCGTCCTCTCCGCCCAGTCACAAATGGCAGGCAAGCACATTCCCACCTCACACACACACATGCATTGCAGCCCCCCACCCATTCAGCGTGTCTTTCATATCAGGTTTGTTTCCTCCCGGTTCGGGCCACCACTTCACAATGGCTCAGGAGGACATGCGCGATGCGCTCTACAGGGAGACCGGCAAGATCAGCCCCATCCGCCAACACCTCTCACTTCACAGCAACGGCACAGTCGGCGAAGACGACCCCACCGAGACCATCCAGAAAATGGGCGACGCCGCATCGCTCGACATCAAACAGGTGACCAAACGAGCCACGAGACACCCTTTGTGATATGTGTGTGTGTGTTTGCGTGTGGTGGTAATGGTGGTGAATCAGGTGGTCGGTTCTGGGTGCAGCCCGCTGCCCCAGGCTTTCGACATGGTGCCGGTGTACACTGTCGAGAAAGAAGAGGACACCCTGCTCCTCGGCTTCGAGGACGACATATGTGACCAATTCAAAGACGAGTACATGGCGACACACAAATGCACCGCATTCCACAGCCCGATGATGGCGCGGCACGAGGCCGTCCTGGAGGGGCACGTCAAGGGCGCACAGAAATCCAACTCCGCCTCATGCGGCAAGACCAGCACTCAGGTGATGGAGCACTTCAAGGGCATCCTGGACAGGGCTGACAAGGCCCTCGGCAAGAGTCTGTTCGAGCCGGGCAAGGCTGTAAACGCTGACATTCATGTGGCGTCACACATGGCGGACGCTGTCGTCTGCCAGATTGCTGACGGCCGGAGACCCGCCATCAAAGACGCAGTAATGGAGCTAGGGAGATACTTGACGAGTGCATTGTCAGCACCCGAGACACTGCATGTGACTCTGCTTTGTGTGTTAGGACGTCATCAAGGGGTACCGTATAGAAGAAAGACATGTCTGCTGCATCGATTGACACATCCATCCAATTGCATCCATCCGTCCATCCATCCATCCGCGTCTCTGTGCGCCTCAGGTTGATCGACCTTCTCGACGCCTACTTCTCCATCCGGTTTGCCGACCCCGTCATCGCCTCACACGGCTCTGCAGGTACGATGAGCAGGCTGCATGCAGAGAGAGACACAAGCCCCGCATGACCTCTTTGTCTGTGTGCTGCATCAGAGTTCTACAAGCTGCTGGCGTCCCTCTTTGAGAGCAAGGCCGCCCTGGCCAAGGACCCCACGAGTGCCCTGGCACTTAGGACAGGAAGAGAGGCACTCAAGGGGGCCCCAGGGCTGGCGGAGGCAGCCAACGTGTGGGAGACACTGAGATTCCTCTACCTCTCGGCACATGACAGCACCGTGGCCGCATTCATCGCAGCACTCGGCGTCTTCAACGGCGTGCAGCCACACTTCGCTTCGGTGAGGGAGGGAGGGAGACAGGAAATGACCGCTGTGTATCGTTCGGTGGAGGAGCTGTGTGTGCGTGTGCGTCTGCTAGACCATCTTCTTTGAGCTGTGGCAGAAGGGGCCCTCCGGCGACTTCTTCGTCCGGGTCATTTACAACGGTGACGCTATGGGTGTGTGTGGCGAGGGCATTCAGGACTGCCCTTTGACGCAATTCCTCGACAAGATCCGAAAGATTGGCGGCGGGATGAAGGTGAATGAGTTTTGTCTGCAGCCCCCGCCCTCACCCCAGCAGACGTGATGGATTGACTGATTGATGAGACACACACTGCTCTCCCTGGCGGTGGCTGCATACCGAGACACTGATACAAATGGGCGGATGGATGGATGGATCGGTCAATCACCAGAAGGTCCAACTTCTGTCCATCCATTCACCAACCATCGGTGACAAATTAAGGCCGAGAAACTCCCGGCGAGAATTTGAGACGGGACAAACCCCGCAAACCCTGCCACAATGCAAAACACACTTTTGCGTTTTTCTCCGTCACAAACACACCAATACCCCCACCAAGCAGCAGTCGGCGGCGGCGCCCACTCCATCTACCGATAAGGGCGACACGACGGCCACTTCCCCGTCATCACCAGCCCCACCACAGCTGCACCTAAGGATGGGCGCCTATATCAGGGCCCGCGACGACAAGAGGGGGCAGTGTGAGGACGCCGCCAGCATTGCGGCTAAGGCGGGCGTCATGGTGGTGGCGGACGGCGTGGGAGGCTTCGCCGACATGAAGGACGGCGGCGTCAGTGCACGCGGTTTAATGCAACTCTCGCCGCCCTCGCCTTCATCTTTCTCTGGGTCTTCCTTCACGGGGGCATTCTCAAGGGCTCCGACAAGATTATCTTGTCAGGCATGGCGGTCTCAGTGTTGCTGTCCGGCGCGGCGGGGGCTATCTATTGGTTGCCGAAGCCTCTGTCGTTGGATTGCAAAAAGACATACGCCAACCTGTGTTTTGCGCGTGCAGTGGCCGTCAACACCATGGACGAGGCCATGGCCACGCCACCACCCCAAGACGCCCACACCAACAGGGCCAAGCAGCTGCTGGAAGCAGGATGGGCCAAGACAGCCGCCGACCGACACGGCCCGCCCGGCGCCAGGACCATCGCCGTAGCCGCCACCACGCACAACGAGGAGGGCCGGCTGTGCATGGACCTCGCCGATAAGGGCTACACTACGGTGGACCAAAAGATCCGAAGTAACCATACGACTTGGAACGCAAAAGGCGACGTCTGTATGTCTCAAAGTCTTCACTTGTGTCTCGGGTTGTGTCTCCGATGGCTGCCTACATTTTATATCCGACAGACATGTGATCTCTCACCGGCTCAGCCTCACACGAGCACTGCCGCGGCGGGGGGCTACGCCAGGCTGTGGATTCAGTCCGCCAACAGGTAGTCAAGAGGGAGAGACACGTACATATAGCATAACCCAGAACAATGCTTGCTCGTGTGTCAGCTGTTGTTCTAGCTATAGCCGCCGCCATACACGATGAGGAGGCCGGCTGTGCGTGGACCTTGCCGGCTATGGCGACTCGACGGTGTTGGTCGTCAGGCGCCCCGCTCACGGTCCCCCCACCATCGTGGCCGCGCTGGAGCCCATGCAGCACCCCAACCAGCCCAACTACCCCTTACAGCTGCAGCGCATCCCCCGCTGCCGGGCCGCCGCCATCCGGGCCGCCGACATCCTAATACCACCACCGGCCACCCTCAAGCGGCTCACCCGCACTGACCACCAAGCTGAGGATGCGTCAGAGGCGACCATCGGCATTCAGGCGTGTCGGTGTCCCCTCGAGTGCGGCGATATTGATATCGCCTGCTCGGACGGGGTCACCGACAACCTGTTCCAGTGGGAGATCGTCTCCTTCGCCAACATCCTCCGCAGCCAGCCCTCCCACAAGATGGCCGCACTTCTTGCGCGGCTGGCGTACCGCAAGAGCAAGAACAAGAGCGAGAAGCTCGACACGCCTTTCCGGCAGATGTGGGAGGCGCACGGCGAGGAGTGCCGGCAGGGCGCTAAGGAGGACGACATCACGGTCCTGGTGGCCAAGGTGGAGGCGGGAGAGGGGAACTGTGAGGAGGGGGAGGCGGGGCGACGGGCAGGCTGGCTGGTTCTGCTGTGTGCTCCAAAAGTAAAACTGACACACACACCAAAAACAGAAACACAGCCGTCATCCACCAATCCCACGTGCCTGTGTGTGTCATGACCAACCGGGCTGCCGAAGAGAGTGCGGCATTTGGTGTTGAGGTCCTGCTGCACATCGAGTGGGAGTGTCTTGACGTAGTCGGCCGTCTTGGTTTCCTCGCCTGTCGGTGCCGGTCGGCACGTCTGCGTCTGCGTCTGCGTGTCGAAGTAGTACTGCATGCAGCCACACAAAGGAGGAATGTCAATCGAGCCTCTTGACGTTGGTGTGTCTGTTCGTCGGCCGCTCACATCCACAGTGAGGCGTCGCTTTGTGGCCTGGACGTTGCAGGCGTCCGTCAACTCGTCAATCGTGTCACGAGACACTGAAAGGGACAGTATTGAGGTGTCTTTGTGTCTGCCTATCTGTCTGTCTGTCTATCTGTGTGTATCTGTTGACAACACCACGGCCACAAGCCCCACCACTTATCTCATGCACGACTGGTCCACTCTGACGCATAGCATCCATCCATCCGTATACACATCACCACGGTGTGTGTCGTCCCGGGTCAAAAATGGGCGGCATGCGGAGAGGGTCTGCGTCAATGTTGGCACGAATCCTGTCGGTCGACTTGCTCAGCCAGGCCGCACGCTCACACAGGGGGTGGGAGGAGTGATACAAGAGCCGCAGGCGCTCGTCGCAATGGTGATGCAGCTGCACTCACACGCAGACAGACACACACACATATATATGCAGTGTCCTGATGTGTTGGCTTGGCCGTGGGTGGATGGGCGTGTACCTCGTTAGCGTCTGTGATTCCATCGAGTGAAGTCATCCGGGCCATCGACAACTCACCCGCCTTGAGCATCTCCACCAGCACCTCAGGCTGCGACGAACCTGCAGAGAGAGCATCAAGACACACACCACACTTCAACACGTTTCTCTCTCTAATGCGTGTAGGCTGACCTAGAGGATAGTGGACGGCAAGGACGGCGATGCTGGCCAGACACCGCTCAAAGGCCGCCAAGTGCTCCCCGTCGCCATGCAGAAACTGACGACAAAGCAACCTGTGCGCCCCATGTCAACGTGGCCCATTCTCGCACTCACTGGCTGACCTGTGCGTTTTCGTCTGCCTCCCTGCCCATGTCGCGATGGAGAGGCCCCTTCCACCGCCACAAAGCGTCCACACACCCCTTCATGGCGTCGATCAACTCACGAGCAGCCGGCCGCGGTGCCGCGTACAGATGCCGATGCAACGCAGTCTTGACGCGCTCCCGTGCCGCCTTCATCTGCGCCTTGCCGCTGCTGTCCCTGGCGTGGCCCTGCCACCCACAATGAAGGCACCTCTGTGCGCCATCATCCGCAGTGGTCACTGAATGGCCGAGGGACGCGAGCAGGCTCTGTGTGACCTGGTGATCGCCACCTGTCGCGGCGACCGATTGGCCTTGGTCGTGGATGCGCCTGCCGATCTTCTCCACGGTTGTGAGCCGCTCCTTCCACCCTTTTGCCGTGGTCATGACACCACAGGCACGGAGGACGTCTCGGTGTGCCGATGGCTGGTGGCACGATGGGCATGGCGTCATGTACAGCCAGTCGGACAGGGGAACGGGGGAGGGAGGGGAGGCCACACACGAGGGACAGACGCACTCAAAGCCGTAATCCCTGGAGGCATCGACCAACCGAGACCAAGACAGTGGGTGACGCGGAAGGGGAAGAAGGCTGCCTCTTCCTTCCCTTTTGTATTCGTTCATACCTTTTGAGCACCTTGTGTCGGTCAGCAGACGGCGATTTGCCGCAGAGAGGGCCGTATGTGATGGTGATCTCCTCGCCCGCCCGCACGTCTCGACACAGACACACTGCATCCAGGCACACAAATACACAGAGAGCAATAACGAATCTCTCCAATATGTGTTTCGTTTCTGTCTCGTTGGCTAACGTGCCTCTGATGGATGTCCCATAGAAGGACACTATGGCGTTGGGGCTGCATGAGTGATTCATGTAGGAGGCCCGGGGGTAGAATGCCGTCCCAAACACACAGTGGTCACCCGCTTCATTACACGTCGACACCCCAAAGGCGTTGCACCTACACACATAAACAAGGAGACAGACACACCATAGGGGAGGGACAACTGCCCACGGCCGTGCCGCCCACGCTCTCACCTGATTCGCGCAATAGCCTGCATGACCACCGCCATTCTGTCGAGTACCTGGTCGTCGATGCTGGTCATCTCACCCTCCCCCCAGTCGCACCACACGGCCGTCCAAAACAGCGCACCCACCACATCTTCCACCACACAAGCCACGCTGACACTGTCGCTGCTCGACGGTAGGTGACACACCAGACTCTCCAGGCTCCTCTCGCCCCTCCAGCTGTCCTCTCCTTGTCTGATCAGCTCGCACGCCGCCACGACTGCTCGCGGCGTGAGCAGACGGTATCCGTTGAGATGGCTCACCGATGCCGGGCGAGGCACAAATCCCTCTCCCTGCCTCTTCGAGCTCGGTTGCCGGCACAACAGCACATGGGATGAATCATCGCGACACCTTGGAGAACAGAAGATGACCCGACGGCATGTGGAGCATGGGACAGTCAGCGGCACGGCGCACTTGGTGCGGAGCATTTTCCGCAAGCAAGCCACCAGAGGATCACCATCCGTCAAGGGCGCCCCTCCGTCGCTCGCTGTGTAGGTGTCACAGATCCGTGCCAAGCAGCCGGCGCACCGCGCACATGAAGGGGGCAGCTTCTCCCTCCACCCTGGCGACTCAGCAGCATCAGCGAGCTGCTCATCGAGGCTCCGAAAGTAATACAACGACAGCGCCAAGGAGGTCGGCTGCTCCTGCATGACTTCTCTCCGACAGCTGAGGGCGGCGTCTTGATCCGACACGACGTGAAGGCCCCGTGACGGCTCGTCCTCGACGGACCACCCCACCGGCTGACACACGTCCCTTTTGTCGATCTCGTCGAATGGCCAGCCGCGAGCGAAGCCCTCGTCCGTCACCTCTGACAGCATATCGCCCAGCAGCTTGGCCACGCGCAGCCGGTCGTCATCCGACCCACCATCCATCGCCAGCCTATCCACCTCTCTCATAGCAGCCTTTCCCTCCTCCCCCTTGTCAGCCCCGAGGGCATCCATCGCCTTCTTAATGCGAAACCACGCCTTCACATGGGTCGGCAGCCGAGCCACCGCCGCAATGCCGTCCGTCAGTGCCAGCCAGGGGCAGTCCACCCGCAGGAAAATGAGGCTCCGGTTGGTGAGTACCACGGCTGCCGCATCGTCTGTCGGGGCGGTCTTGAGGGCCTCTGTGTAGTAGTAGATGGCCTTGTCCTGAGCGTCCCCTTTAAAGGCCTCATTGCCTTGCTGCCGCACTGCATCTGAAAGCTCACGGGATTTGCTGTCGGTGTCGGTGCTGCGCAGTAGATGGGACAGAGTGGCCAGCAGCTCTCGCCTGACAGCCAGGGATGAGCAGATCTGCGCGAGCAGATCCCGCCATGTTGAAAGATCAGCAGCTGAGCCGGCCGGGATGTTGCGTAGCGCCTCTTCTGTCGCCTCACGCAAGTGCTGCAGACACTGTAATGGCGAATGAGCACTCATTGATGTGCACTGACCAGTTCAGTGCCTCACCTGAAGTCGGCCGTCCATCAGACCTGAAAGATCCATCGTATCTGGCTCTCAACTCGACATCATAGCCATTGATTGGTACCCAGGAAGCCAATTGGAAGCGGCTCTTCGGCTCTTCGCCATTTCCCCTGTGCGAGCTTGAACAGCGCGCGATTTGCGAGCTTCGAATGTCTTTAAGGCAGAGGCGAAAGGAGGCTGCTCAGCAGGTCGTCCTCGTCGCGCAAGAGGGTGCTAGTGCCAACGTTCTATGAGCAGTGATTGAGCGGAGAGACCGAGGGAGAGAGTGAGTTGTTCTTCCATATTCTGCGAGAGAGTGAGTGCTTAGTCAGCACTGCCCCTCCCATCCCCAGCAACTAGTATGGTGTGGCGGAGCTGCTTGCTGCTGGTGGCCGGCCTTGCAGTCGCGAGGCGCGCTGCCGCAAGTTGTTTTGACGCCGTTGATCTCATAGAGTACGATGGCCTGCCCAGCCACAAGAAGATGGAACAGTGCCTGGCGGACAAGGGTGAGCACAGAAAGAATCGCGCCAGCCATTGCTGCACAGTATTCATCGCCTGTTTGTTGTGTGTGCTTGTGTTGCAGAGGATGGCGAGACCAAGTACTGTCTGGCGACGGTCAACTTGATGAACAAAATCGGTGTCACGGGCGGATTCTGCCTGCCCAAGGACTGCCTGTAAGCACAGCACACCACACCACGGCAAAACACATCACGCCAACCACACACAGCCACACCCCTCTCTGTGTGTGTGTGCGTGCAGGATAACAGAGATAGAGCAGTTCATCCAGGATGTGTGTGCGGTGTCGGACTGCGCCTCCCTCGACCTGCCCAACCCCCTCGCCAAGGAGCTCTGCCCCGTCATCCAGTCCTCCCTCTGCAACCCACAAAACCGCACACAAGCTGGTAGGCCAAGGAGCCATATCATGCAGCCAGCCGGTCACACATAAACCCATGGCTGTCCTCTCTCTCTCTTGGCAGGGAACAATTTGAATGTGACGTGTCTGGACCGTCTTGGGATCCGGCATGATGTACGGCAGCAGCAGCTGGAGAGCGTCCTGGCCTGTGGCGGCGGCGACCCACAGGCGCAGCTCGACTCGGGACTCATTAACGACCTGGGAGACTACGACGGATGCCAAAAGGTGAGTTACAAGGCACTGCTGTGTGGGGTATGGATTCATGGATGGATGGATGGATGGATGGATGTCAGCTGGCTGACAGCCACTACTGCCTGGCGACGTACAACCCCCTGCCCGTAGCCTCCGGCCAGTGTGTGCCCCGCTCGTGCAGCTCAGACAACTACAAGACCACCGCACACTTCGTCTGCTCCATCCCGGACTGCGTCGCCTACGCGTCACTCATACCCATCCAAAACTGCTTCCTGTGGAAAGCCCTCGTCTGCGGCGAGGCACCACCGACCCCCCCGATGCACGACGACGCACACGTCATGCGGGCGGCTTTCCGCGGCCACGTGATCGAATTCCCCGCTCTCGGGCCGGCAGCGCCGCACAGCTTGTCTGCTCGGGAGGTGGACAGGCTGCAGAAGGTGCTCCAGGGGCTTGGGCCGTTCGTGGGCATCGTCAACCGCACGAACGGCCTTCACGACGGTGCGGGGGGCAAGATGACCAGCGTGGTGTCGAGAAGACGGCTTCAGGTGGGTAGGGTAGGGTGTGGTGTGGTAGCGCCGGAACCGACAGGGCAATGCAGGCAGACAGTCCACTGTGCGCGTGTGGGTGTGTTGTGTTGTGCAGGACATTCCCAACTCTGGCCCCCAGGGGTTTGCCGTCACCTGCGACTTTGGTCCACCTCAGGTCGACAGCGGACTCATCGGCTTCATCTGCCTAACCGGTCAGGGACTGACAAACCAAATAATGATTGATCCCCCATCCCACCCCATCCACAGCAAGCAATTCGTCTCTTTGCCTGCCACCAGGTTTCCTCCTAATGGTTGGTGCCATTGCGGGCGCCATGTCCTACTACGCCAAGACACATCCCAAGGACGACACCGACGCGCCGGGAGGCGGCAAAGCCCTCGACACACTCGGCGGCATCTCATCGTCGGCGCGTGATATGGGCGCTGTGTCCAGCTCAGCTGGTGCAGGTGGTGTGGGTGTGGGCGTGAGGGACGTGCGTGTGGACCGCTTCGAGGCGTCGGTGGCGCACCAGGCGGCGCTGAGCACCCGGGGGCTGCTGGAGGGGCAGAAGGAGGAGGACAGCATGGGGTACAAGCTGCTCATGTGCTTCGACCCCATCAATAATTGGAACAAAATGTTCTCACTCAAGGTCAGCCAGCAGCTCACGTGTGTGCCATCCGTGCCATCCATCTGTGTGTGTCTCCTTCCTTGTGCAGACGAGTGATAAGTCGCTGTCGTGTTTGAATGGCGTGCGGGTGCTGTCGCTGTCCTGGATCATCCTGGCGCACATACTCGTCGCCGAAGGCATCGCCGCCACACTCAAAAACATCCAGGTACGCATCACATCCCATTCATCTCACGCGACGAAGGCGCCTGTGGATGTGTCGTGTTGCGCTGGCTGCAGGTGGTCGGCGGGTTGCTGCAGCGGTTCTCCTTCCAAACCATCATCGGGGGCTTCTTCGCTGTCGACAGTTTCTTCTACCTCTCCGGCTTCCTCACGGCCTACACCGTCACCAACACCACCCGCACCAAGACCAGGGGCAAACTGCCTGTCGGAATGGCCATCCTCCACAGGCAAGCGACCACACCAACAAAGAACCGCCCCCACACACAGGCAACCCGATGCATGTGTCGTCCCGCCACACACAGGTATGTGCGCCTGACGCCGGTGTACCTCTTCGTCATCTTTTTCTGGGACAAGGTGGCGCCGTACCTGGCGCTAGGCCCCCGTTGGCCGCTGCTGTCCCAGTCTTTGGGCGGTGTGGGTGAGGGGAGTGCCTGCGAGAAGTACTGGTGGAGCAACGCCCTCTACATCAACAACTTCGTCCCAAGCGACTTCGGCCAGCAGTGCCTCCCCTGGTCCTGGTACCTCGCTAACGACTTCCAGTTCTTCCTCGTGGGCATCATCATCCTGTGGGCCTACTTCCAGTAAGCGAGCTTACCTCACCGCAGCAGCAACAGACCAGGAAGGAGCAACGTGCCTCTCTGTGCGCGTGTGTGTGTGTCATCCATCATATCAGCATTCACAAGCTGGTTGGGTGGCTGACGATCGGCGCTACGGCGGTGGCGGCGTCCATCAGCACCTACATCATCGTGACGCAGCACCACTTCGAGGTGTCACTCACACAGGGCGTCTTCGCTGGACAGGCCGACCCTAACAACAACCAGGTGAACATACCACATACACACACACACAGAGAGAGACGGAGACCGATGCACACAAACACGCGACCGTATGCCTGTCGATGGTGCTGATCTGGCCATGTCAGATGACGGTGTACTACCAAAAGCCCTGGTGCCGTATTCTCCCCTACCTAGTGGGGATGGCGGCCGGCCTCCTGTGGGCTGAGCACAGGGGCGACGTGCGCGAGGCCTTCGGCAAAATGAGGGGCGTGGGGAGGTGGGCGGGCAGCATCCTGGCCGGCGCCCTGATGCTCTTCCTCATCTACATCCAGTGGACGGCCAACAAGGACCACCCCGTCGTCTGGACACAAGTCGAAAACTCACTCTTCCTCACCTTCTCGAGGTGAGAGATGGCGAATAGAACGATAGCAAACCATTCGCTCGGCATCTTATCGTGTGTTTGTGTGCGTGTGTGTGTGTGTGTGATCGATCAGGGGTGCGTGGGCAGTCGGGCTGACGTGGTACGTCTACCTGTGTGCGTTGGGCCACGCCCCGATTACCAATTTCTTCCTGTCCTGGGGGTTCTGGTCCCCCCTGGCACGGGTCACCTACTCGTCATACCTCATCCACCTCGCAATCATCCTCATGTACGATCGCTCCATTGATGCACACAGCCACACACACACAGGTCTCTCCAAGTGCATACGCGAATTTTGTGCTGTCCTGTGGTGCAGGTGGTTCTTCGCCCGCCCATACCAAGAGTACTACTATGACGGCGAGATGTACCTGTATGTGCCGGGCTTCATCTTCATCTCATACGTGACGGCCATATTCATCTCGCTGCTCGTCGAGGCGCCCGTCATGAACCTCGAGAAACACCTCCTGGCGCAACTATCGAGGCTGGGGAGGCGGACCAGGTCGACGGCCGACAACGACAAAGGTAGGCGATCAGAGCAAGAACCATAACACACGCTTTGAGAGCGGCTGGATGGATGTGTGTGTGTGTGTGTGTGTCGTGTTGCCCGCCCGCGTGTAGTGGGTCCCCTCGAAGAGGCGTCCATGAATCCGTCGACGGAGGCCGGCCGCAGCCCCACCCTCATGACCATGGGCAGCGAGGCATCCTCATACACACCACTCGACAAGCCCACCACACGACTCAATGGCGGCAGCCAGCCGCCCCCGCCCCACGGCGCATAAGGCGCCGGGGGGTGGGAAGAATGTCCATGTATGTTGTATGTACACGAATGTGTGAGCGTGTGTGTGTGAAGCTCGAGTGTCGTGTATAGACAGATAGGGGGATAGATGGAATGAACGAATGGGCGACCGGCAGGGGGGAGGGGGAGGGGGCTTTTTCAAGTGGCTGTGCGCGCCTCTTTTTCCGTCTATACGGTCCGTCTATACGGTCTGTCGCGTGTTGGGGCTGGATGGATGGATGTGGTGTCGGGTGTTTGTTCCACTTTGCTGGTATCGTACTCCAACAATTAGTGACGTGTGTGTGTGTTGCAACCTAACGCTCATGTGTCTGTGTCTGCATGAAAGAAAGCGTGTAGAGCTGTCTTGTCTTGGCTGGCCGCATTCGTACACACATCCGTCAATATACCCACCCATATATTCACTTGTATATCCACTCGCTGCCCCTGCTCACACCTGCCCACCACTTCCACTCACTCAGTTTCTTCTCTCCCGCCCAGTCAGGTTGGTGCGCGCGTGGCCGTCTGCCTGTCTGTCCGCCGGTCGGCCGCTGTCAGTATCCTGTGAATAGGCGAGCGATCGGTGGATGGTTGGATGGATGGCTGTCTGCCTGTGTGTGTGTGTGTGTGTGTGTGTCTGTGCGAGAGAGAGGAGAGGAGAGGAGGGGAGGGGACTGACCACCGAGGTGCTCGCATTCGTACCGCGACACCTCACAGCCAGGCCTTTTGCGCTGAGTGCACAGATGACAGGATCCATCCACCATCCATCCGCCTGCCTGCCTACCCTTGCTGCCGACCGACCCTCTCCCGACTCTCCAATTGCCATCTTTGTCAAGACAGACAGACGGACAGACGGACAAAGACCGACTCCTCTCTCCCTGCTTGTGACCATTGACTGCTTTGTGTGTATGGAATGCTTCGTCTGCCAAAGGCAGACATACACTGTATGTAAGATACAGATGATGAGATGATACCACTACTGTAGAGGACAGGCACACAGACAGACCACCTCACCAAATGCTGAGCTGCTGGGGAGCAAATACGACGGACAGACAGACAGGAAGGACTGGCGGGGATGGGTGGGTGGATGGATGGATGGATGTGTCTACCTCTTTCAAGGTCTGGCTGGCGCTGCCCTGACTGAACACGAAAGCTCTGTCTGGCACAGTCAATGAGTTGGTGGCTGTGCCTTGTCACCTCTCACCTCTCTCAACCTTATCTCTTCGATCTGTCAGCCAGCAGAAAGACACCCATGCTAGAAAGGAAGGGCAGCGAGTCGGCGGCCGTGCGGCACACACATGAGTCTCGTACTGTGATGTGTGGTGTCGCCCTGCAGTGCTTCCACGTTCAAGGCACGCGAGCTGGAGGCAACAGGGGGGGCCGGCTGGCGGTCTGGCATCACGTCAGGCGTGCAGCTGGTGTCCCCGGCCGCCACGGAGGGCAGGAGAGGAGCGGAGGGCTGGATGCATCGCATGATGGAGCGAGCGAGTGGATGGCCATGGGCGTGTTGTGTGGATGGCTGATGGCTCTGTGTACCTATGTATCACTCACTGCTTCCTTCTATCCTTTCCCTGCTTTGCCTGCCTTCAACCACCGCACATGGATACATACGTAAGCATGGCGAGTGAGTGAGGAGATAAGAGCAGAGAGAGAGGGAGTGGAGTCGGCGAGCGAGCGATGCAGAGAGGAGCGCACCCATCCATCCATCCATCCGTGTGCGCATCGTGGTGTGTGTGTGTGTGTATGTGTGTGTGTTGTGTCGGTGCGCGCTGGATAGTCGATCTGGCGTGGTGTCGTTGGTGTACAGACAGGAAAGAAAAGGTGCACACCTGTGTGTAGCTTTTGCTAACTCACTCGCCGTGTCTGTCTGTCTGTCTGTCTGTGTCGCCACTGTCGAATTCACTCACCCATTGTATCTGATCGATCAGATTTTGGCAGGCAGTGTGCATGCGTCTGGCCATGAGTGTAGGAAGATAGAGTGCACGCATGAGTGGCATGACCTTACCTTGGTTGGCCGATCGATGGATTGGTGGATGGATGGATGGATGCAGTTTTGGAGGCGATGAAATAAATGATTGGTGTCAGTCGGTTTTGCTCGCGAGATCGAGGTGGAGAGCCTGCAGACAGAGAGCACAGTGAACTGTCCGCACAGATGGACCGAGACACGTACCTGCACACAGACAGAGTGACAATGAGTGAGTGGAGTGCATTGCATGAGCGCGTCAGTCACTTTTTGAAATGCAGTCGGTCCGTCGATCGATCTCCGTACGTATACGCACACATCGATCATGTCATGTGTGTACAGTACTCAAATCAATCACAGGCATTCATCGATCAATCACAGGCACTCAAGACCCACCAGCATGATGAAGGCTGCCGCTGCGTGTCTGTGCCTCCTGCTGGTCTTGTGTGAGGGTCTGCTGCCGCCCCGCGCACAATACGGGCTGCTGACTCGGATTCGCCGCCGCAAGGCAGTTGGCAAGAAGGCCTTCTTTCCACCACTGACGCCTTGGATTGCCCGAACACTCAATCGAGCGTGCAAGACGCAATTCGGTCTGCCTGCAGCTAGAGACACAGAAATAATCAACGACCGATGTCTCTCTCTCTCTCTCTGTGTGTGTGTGTGTGTGTGTGTGTTTGTGTGTGTGTGTGTGTGTATGTGTGTGTCAGGCTACGAAAGCACGTACGATGAGTACTACCGGTATTGTTTGACTGGTGGATTCATCCCCTTAGTCAAGTTCCCTGTCGGTCCGTGAGATACAGACAGACAGACAGACGGACACGAAGACACATACCTCAATCGATGTGTTGCTGTCCCTTTCAGTGTCTCGTGACACGATTGACGAGTTGACGGACGCCTGCAACGTCCAGGCCACAAAGCGACGCCTCACTGTGGATGTGAGCGGACGACGAACAGACACACCAACGTCAAGAGGCTCGATTGACATTCCTCCGTGTGTGACTGCATGCAGTACTACTTCGACACGCAGACGCAGACGTGCCGACCGGCACCGACGGGCGAAGAAACCAAGACGGCCGACTACGTCAAGACACTCCCACTCGATGTGCAGCAGGACCTCAACACCAAATGCCGCACTCTCTTCGGCAGCCCGGTTGGTCATGACACACACAGGCACGTGGGATTGGTGGACGACGGCTGCGTTTCTGTTTTTGATGTGTGTGTCCAGTTTTTACTTTTGGAGCACACAGCAGAACCAGTGCATGCACGCGTGAGCACACCAGTCCACACACATATTTCTGCGAGTGCGTCCAGAACTCGCCAGCAAGAGACATCAGCCCACATGGATGGATGACATAACCACTGCATCAGTTGAATTGCCATTGACGTCTCGCTACATGTCCATATCCTCCCTCCATCACCCCACATGACACGCCAAGTCGTGTCTCTTCACACAGTCCCCACGAACGCATGATTCGGTCAATCACGTACGACAGATATAAAACGTAAGCAGCGATACTGACAAAGACGGCCGCCTCCTCTAGTTCTCAAGACCCCCTCCGCCGACCCCACCTTGGCCACCAGCACCGTCATTGGCATTGTCATTGTCATGGTCATTGTCCTCTGTGTTAGGATGCAGGTGTGGTATGCTGTTGTGCGGGAGGTAACTCATCATGTGCGGCTGCAGGAGGTGTTGTGCGTCGGAGTCACACACGGCAGGTCGGTGTCGACGTGCTGTGGCTGCTGCTGCTGTGACTGCGGTGGCTCCTCCTCCTCGCCCTCATCATCGTCGTCCGCCCAGAAGTCGTCGTCATCGTCGCTGTCCTCCTCCACGACCTCCTCGCGGGCGTCCACATCCTCCTCCACCAGCCAGCCTGCCCGTCGCCCCGCCTCCCCCTCCTCACAGTTCCCCTCTCCCGCCTCCACCTTGGCCACCAGGACCGTGATGTCGTCCTCCTTAGCGCCCTGCCGGCACTCCTCGCCATTCGCCTCCCACATCTGCCGGAAGGGCGTGTCGAGCTTCTCCCTCTTGTTCTTGCTTTTGCGGTACGCCAGCCGCGCAAGGTGTGCGGCCAGCTTGTCGGCGGGCAGGCTCCGGAACGTCTGGAAGAAAAAGACGATCTCGTGGTGGAACAGGTTGTCGGTGACCCCGTCCGAGCAGGCGATAATGATATCGCCGCTCTCGACGGGGCACCGACACGCCTGAACCCCGATGGTCGCCTCTGACGCATCCTCAGCTTGGTGGTCCGTGCGGGTGAGCCGCTTGAGTAGGGCCGGTGGTGGTATTAGGATGTCGGCGGCCCGGCGGCGGGGGATGCGCTGCAGCTGGAAGGGACAGTTGGGCTGGTTGCGGTGCTGCATCGGCTCCAGCGCGGCCACGATGATGGGAGGGCCGTGGTGGGGGAACCTGGACCTGACGGCCATTATGGTCGAGTCGCCGTATGCGGCGAGGTCCACACACGGCTGGCCCTCCTCGTCGTACGTGGCAGCGGCTATAGCTAGAACAACAGCTGACACACGAGCAAGCATTGTTCTGGGTTGTGCTATACGTACGTGTCTCTCCCTCTTGACTACCTGTTGGCGGACGGAATCCACAGCCTGGCGTAGCCCCCCGCCGCGGCAGTGCTCGTGTGAGGCTGAGCCGGTAAGAGATCACATGTCTGTCGGATATAAGATGTAGGCAGCCATCTGAGACACAAACCGAGAAACAAGTGCAAACTCTGAGACATACAGACATCGCCTTTTGCGTTCTAAGTCGTATGGTTACTTTGGCATGTTTCGGTCCACCGCAGTGTCGCCGTTATCGGCGAAGTCCACGCACAGCCGGCCGTCCTCGTCGTGCGTGGTGGCGGCTACGGCGATGGTGCTGGCGCCGGGCGGGCCGTGTCGGTCGGCGGCTGTCTTGGCCCATCCCTCTTCCACCAGCTTCTTGGCCCTGTTGGTGTGGGCGTCTTGGGGCGGTGGGGTGGCCATGGCAGCGCCCATGGTCTTGACGGTCAGTGCACGCGCAAAATCGCGTGCACTGACGTCGTATTTGTCGACGAAGCCTCTCACGCCGTCCGCCACCACCATGACGCCCGCCTCAGCCGAAATGCTGGCGGCGTCCTCACACGGCCCCTCTTGTCGTCGCTGGCCCTGATATAGGCGCCCATCCTTAGGTGCAGCTGCTGTTGGGCTGGTGACGAGAGGCTGCCGCGGGTGCTCGTCTTGCCGGAGGTGGTGCCGGTGGTGTTTGTGGTGGGCAGGAGTGGGGGGAGGTGGGCTGTGGTGAGTGTGGGGCTGTCGTTGCGCCTCTGTGGGCAGAGGCGGGATGCCTGGGGCGACGGTACACGATGGCCTGGTGGACGGGGGACTCGTCGTCCGTGTCCTTCACAGCAGCGGTACCAACCGAAGGCAAGGAGAACCGCAAAAGAGAGCGAGGCGGAGAAACCGCAAAAGCGCGTTTTGCATTTTATCGCAGGGTTTGCGGGGTTTGCATTGTCCCGTCTCGAATTCTCGCCGCAAGTTTTCTCGGCCTTATTTATCCAATTGTTGTGGATGGATGGATGAATGGATGAATGGATGAATGGATGAATGGATGAATGGATGAATGGATGAATGGATGAATGGATGAATGGATGGATGGACGGCCCTCGCATGCAGGTTGAATGTGAATGGGTAGGTTGAGGGATTTCCAACAACAAGGATAGTTAATGCATATCTATGTCGAGATCATGGATGATGCATCCAATCCAGACAGCCGTACACACAACACAGTAGCTAGGTGTCATACGAATCCCTCACTCACTCATTATATTGAGCAGTCTATACACATGCAGTGCACCCACCCTCATCACCGCCCTCTCCTCTCTCGCTGTACACGCACCCCCCCAGTTCGCCCCATTGCTCCTTCTCTTGCTCTCTCCGACGTACAGGGGAGCTCTCTCGTCCTTATCTCTCTTGGTTGGTCGGCAGGCAGGGAGAAATCCACTCAATTCGGAAGGGAGCAAAGCAGGCAAAGCGAATGGACACACACTAGCCGACCGAACCGACACACCGACGACAAAACTGCTCACACCTGCAGGCAATTCTCACAGAGAAGGAACAGAAAGGGCTATCGACTGTGCTCGGGTGGACATGCCATGCGTGCCTCTCTGCCGCATTGCTCAGATTCAAGACATTCTCGTCTACACTGCACTGACTGCTCCAGCCAACGAGTTTACGAATCACATCACCGCAGCTGCCGTCCCTGTGCACCCAAGCCATCCACCCACTGACCTGTGTGTGTTATGGATCCCCAATGGATGGATGGCCTAGCCGCTATCAGACACCCGGATCATAGAACCAGATCGACTGCTCAGGACCAGGAGTGCCCCTGGTCGTTGCGGGAGGTGTCCTGGACCTCCCTCCCATCACCAGTGGCGGCCATATGGGGGCCGTCACTGCCATGCCCCTCACTCGGCGGCGCTGATCCAGCCGCAGCAACGCAACTTCCAACGCCTCCTCGTCGCGGGCGGCTCTCACTCGTCCGGTCTCTCGCTTTCTCAAATCTGCCGATGCACTCGCCGTCGGCGACTGCTCGGCCGCATGAGAGGACGATGACGCAGACGGCGAAGCCCCGCCGGGCTCGACGTGCCGACCTTCCTCCTTGCCCCCTCTTGAACGCGGCGACCGCACGGCAGTGAGCCCGTCGCAGAAGGCGTAGTCCCTCTCGCTGGCCGATGCCGCTGCAGATGCCGATGCCGATGACGCGTTGCTGGGCGACGGCGCAGCCTTCTTCTTGCCGACGGGTGACTCGCACTCTTCAAATTCCTTCCAGTCGACGATGCCGCCGGCAGCGTCAGGTCCGAGAGGGCAGCCTGGTCGGGGAAGGGCGAGGGGGGGCGGGACGGGGAGGGGCAGGGGGGCGGGCCATGGGGGGGCGGGTGAGGGTGAGAGTGAGGGGCGGTGGGTGGCCTGTCGGAGGGTGGCCACCTCCACCTGCAGCGACCGCATGTCCTCGTACATCACTGAATGAATGAACAAACCAATCAAAGAACATGTGTTCGCACATCGCATGCATTATATGTGTGTCCCATTCACACGCATCCGTCTTACTTCTCAGCCTCTCCTTGGCCTCGAGCTGCCACCTCAGAGCGTCCCTCTCCCTCGCCAAGGCGGCCACGTCCGCCTGCAGGTACTTCCTGTGTGAGAAGAGCGTCCGCACTGCCTGGTGCTGGTAGTCCAGGGAGTCCTGCAGCTCCACCAGGGCGTCCAGGGCAGCAGCAGCATCCGCACCCTCGGCTGTGCTGAGGGAGGAGGGCTCGTGTGAGCCGGATGCTCCCATCACTCACACACCCAACATGACCAGAGGGCTCCGGGGCGCACAACGCAGCCGCATCCACGGCGAGCTTGCATCTGCTGCGAGCCTAGAGTGCAGATCTCGGCAGAGGAAAAGAAGGGGAGGAAGGCCACACGAGCAACCAGAAGGCCCAACGGACACTGCGTGTTGTCTTGATTCATTGACTGACTGCAGATTTCGTCTGTTGCATATCGGGCTCGTCGTGACTCGCGCCATCACGCCGCGCTGCGCTGAAGGGACGTGTCTTATTGGTTTTGAAGGCTTTTCCCTTGTCTGTTGGCTTGCCCTGTTTGCATCTCGGCACACGATAGAACGAGAGGAGACGTTTGGGTTGAAGAAGAACGCTACCGACAGGACTTCCATGTTGATGCTTGCACATATATCTGCATTACTTACTGCCTCACGAGCGTCTCTCTCAAGTCTCAAGAGAAAGAGCGTGATCCATCCAAGAGAAAGAGCGTGATCCACCACCAGACACAAACACAGCCAGACAAACACCCCCGCAATCAATCAAGGCATTCAGCAACCGGCCTTCCCGTCACCATCCATCGCATGCACCATTCACTCACACAGTGCGTTGTTCTACCAGACACAGCTCCTCTCACCCATCACAGTTACATTAGTTCTGCGTTCGTCGAGCGCGGGAAAAAACAGCGCAGTACAGGCAGCAGGCATTGTTGTGAGGTCAAAGCCAGCGAGTGAGACATCCTTACCTCACATGTAAGCAAGCGAAAATCGAATTCACAGCCTCAGAGCACTAGAAATTGAGTGGGGTGTGTGCCCCTAGACTAGAAAAGGGTGTCTGTCTGTCTCATCCCTCCCCTCCAAAAGGGAGGGTGAGAGCACGACGCCCAACAGGAAAAACAGCACATATCAGTGGTGCCCCACGACTGACTACAAAACGGTCATCTGCAACAACCGCGCGGTCTCCATGAATGCCATGCCGCCCGCCATTGTACGAATCACGTCGCTCTTTCTCTCTCTCTTTCTCTCTCCCTTCGAGGGAGACCCCCACCAGAATGCCCCCCACTCTCTCTCTCTCCTCCGAGGAAGAGATCCCACCAGAATGCCCCCCACTCTCTCTCTCCTCCGAGGAAGAGATCCCACCAGAATGCCCCCCATACACAACACACACGCAAGAAGCCCCACGCAAGAAATAGCAATAGAAAGTGATGCCCTACGACTAGAAAAAGGTCGCATACGACCAGACTAGACTTCTTACAATCAATGGCCCCCCCGGTCGGGAGCCACCTCGCCGTAGGAATCGGGGAGGAACTTGCCGAAGAGCGACAGGTACAGCATGCGGTAGATGTCAGTGTTGTCGAATCGTACGCTGAACTCCTTGCTCAGCAGCTCCGAGTTGATGCCCTCGGCGCGGGCCACAATGCCACCGCCGACGTCGTCAGTGCCAGACCAGCCTGAAAGAGAACAAACAAAACCAACAGACAGAGCCCACACAGGAAGAGACAGTCAGAGGAGCTGCATACACTGATTCCCTTGCATGCCGTGTGCAAGTGTTGGTCGCGCCAGTAACCTACCGATGGCAAATTTCTGTGGATCGCCGAAATCGTTGGGCTCAGCAGTGAAAGGCTCGGTGTTGCGGCCTTCAACGCCGTCGAGCTCGAACCTGTCCGCGAGGTCCTCCTCCTGACGTGTCAACAGAATCCCAGGCGCGAGACATGTGTGCAGCCCAGCCACCCTCAGACACACTACGTGTGTCTCTCTCATATGCTTGTGTGCGTACCTCGTTGATGCCCGTGGAATTGCCGCCAGAGACCGTGACACGACCGTCGTTGTCAACGGGGGGAGGTCCGAAACACTGGGGGGCGCCACCGTCACTGAAGACATGCATGGCAGCAGACACCAGATGGAGAGACAGGGAGCCGCCTTTCGCCTGGCTCGTGTACCTATCGGCGGCGAGGATGGTGAAGGTGTGGGGGTTCTCCGCGATAAAGTGACGCACCACGCCGACGAGGTCATCCGCGCGCTTGATGGCATTGAGCATTCCGATAGCCTGCATGACAGGCACATCACCAGCACAAGACAGCCACATGTGAGGGCGGTAAGCCGTTGTCGACTTGGCTGGCTGGCTGGCTGGCTTACGTTAGCATTGTTGGGGAGGTTGTCAGTGCTTTCGATCTCGGCCACCAGGAAGAAGGGCTTGCCCCTGGCGTGGCTGTGGCGCTTGAGGATCTCCAGGGCCATCTTGCCCAGCTCTGCACCAGTCGCCGGGGCGAAACCACGTGTGTTCGGTCGGCTGCCGTAGAGGATGAGGCGGCCCTCCTTGCTGCCGGCCTTCTCGGGGATTACCAGTCCGATGTCGATCAACTTCTCCTCGGGCTCGTCGTTGAAGATGTCGTCCCTCGCGAAGAGCCCCAGCACCTGAGAGAGCGACAGCAATCACACACCAAACATCGGCCGCGTGTCGCCCGCGGAGAGGGCAGAGGGTAGTGTTGACACTTCATCTCAGACCTTCGGAGTGAAGTGGGGGTCCGCCTCAATGCGGTGCAGGAGGGCGTCGAACTCCTCGCGAGTGCGGATGACCTCGTACCCTTTGTTGGCGAACTCACGCAGCAGGTTGCGGTTGTCCTCACGCGATGGGCCCTCGCCTGTGATCTGAATTATGAGAGAGAGGACAAGTAAGGGTGTGTGTGTGTGTGGTTGCCAACCACACACACACAGGCGCTGTGTGTCAAGTGTGCCTCAGCTAGGTACCTGGTCCTCGTGGATGAAACAGTCGAGCGTGACGTCCTCTTCGCACTTTGGCGTGCCCTTGGGAAGGAAGAATCCCTCCCCGCCAGCCAGCAGCACCTCAGGCACCGGCTCGCCCTCTTTGCCCACCCGACCGTCGAGAATCTGTCGCACGATCTCCTCGCTCTCGTTGCGGTCCTCGACCTCGGACGTGAAGCACGCCGTCCCAGGCTCCGCCAAGTCGCCGTCGTTGACCAGGCCCGTGGGCATTCCCTGAGCGGCCGCCTCGCGCAGGATGGAGCCACCGAAGCCGCTCAGACTCTTGATGGAGCGCCCGGCGTCGTTGCCGAAGGAGCTCGAGTCCACTTTGTAACCTGCAGGCACGCACAGATCAACGACACCAAGCACATATGAGTGGGATCCGACGTCCAACCAACTTGAGGAGTGGCCGGTGTGTATGGTGTGGTGTGGTGTATTGCGCTCACTGACCGAAGGCATGGACGGTTGCGCCGCCGTTGGATGTGCCGACGAGGCGGTCGAACATGTGGCCTTTGTAGACGGCGATCTCTGGCAGCTGGTCCCAGTTCCAGGAGAAGTCGTTGTCAGGGCCCGCCCAGTACATGCGCCCCAGCTGGAAGTGGTTCTGCACACACACACTGTGTGACACACACAAGACGACATTCCAACCGTGACACCAACCAGTGAGTTGAGTGCAAGGATGTGGCTTGCACACACACATACCAGGCCGGTGCCGTCAGGGTGAAGGAAGATGGTGTTGCCGATCTTGCCGGTCACGTGCTCGCCCCGCATCTTGCGCACAGGTGTCGCCAGGGCAGGGAGGACCGCTGCAAAGACGACCACAGCGAGGACAAAAACACGCATCTTGGTGGCAGCTATGCTATTGGCTGCAGCAGGGAGGTACAGTAACAGGGTGAACAGAAGCACAGAGGGCACACAAGAGAGATAGGTCAGCAAGAGACAGCGGAAGATGTCCAGGTCAGGGAGTGGATGCGAAGCCGTCGCAAAAACAATGTCAACTCAAGGCAATAACGCCTCGACAGGTACCATGGTCTAGGGGAGGCGTTTCGTAACGCCTAACGGAAATGCGAGCTTGAGGAGCAAAGGGGCTCTTTCTGTCAGAAGTGCAAGTCGGTCCAGGGTTTAGGGCCTAGGGTTCATAGACCGACGATCCACTGATCTGTGAGACAGGACGGCTGTTGAGTCTTTGTCCGTTCCATGAGACAGGCCATGGCGGACAGGACGTCAGACAGGATGGACTGACGCATACTACATGTCCTACGTGGACTCTCCACAAAATCCACAGACCTTACGT